TTTTCATATATCAAATTTTAAAGACATTTATTTATTTAGATTATGTTTAATTTGTGGTAAAAAATATCATTGTTTAACCAAAATATTCAAAACATTAAGTGTTTTTAAGGACAAAAGAATTGTAAGGAGTATATAATATGTTGGTAGAAAAAAGAAGAGTAATTAACGAATTGAAACACAAAAACATTTAGTACAAGTATATTGTAGCTAGGTCTCTTTGTGGAATTCTGTAATGATCCTTAAATATTATCAGAGGCGGATCCAGCAATTGAGAAACATGGGGTCCTGTCTCTTTAGTTATGATTATATTTTTTAGTATTGAGAGCTCATACCTTCACTACAATAAACTAAGAAAATTATGGAGTAGTATTTGCATGAACATTCAAAAATTTCTCTCAGGTTGATTTTTTAAAATCATAAACCTTCTCGTATACAATTTTTTAAGGTAAGGAGTAATATTCAACTTTCAATCATTTAACATATTCACTTATTTGAATAAAAATGAAAAATCAATAATTCTACCATAATACTACCGAAAATGTTTTTTGCAAGACACGTTTAATATAATTATTTTCTATTACTTTACGATGAAATGTATGTTCAATTCATAATAAGAGTTCAAAGAAAGTGAATGCAAAAAATGGAGCGTATGTAATTTTAAATTAAATTTCATTCATTTATATTTTATGTATTTGAAAATATAAATACTCAATGATTGAATTTTGTAAAATAAGGAGTGCACATACGAAAGAATAATCACATTCTAATACATCTCATTAAAAATAAAATTTTGAATTCAATTGATATAAGCATAAGTACTAATTGTTTTTTATGAATTTTAAAAAATTAAATTCTGTATTATTTATGCTTGAACTTATGAAGAAATTTTTACATTTTATTTATATATTAGAAGATATGAAGTAAACATTTGATTCTACCACATCCAACTTAGAAAACTAAAACTTAATTGGTCGTTTTTTGATTTTTTCTAAAGGAAATAATAGAAAAAATACATATTAAAAAAATACAAAGCACTATCAAAGAGGAAAAAAGAAGAATTAAGAAAATTAAAATTTAATTGATGTATTCTTATTAAAGAAATAGTGGAAATATTAAAAAACTAGAGAGCACTATCAAAGCAAACCGAAAAAAGAAGAGTAAGATTTGATAAAATTAAAATTTAATTGAATTGTTTTTTAGAAAAATAGTGGGGAAGTACAAAAAACAAATGCACAAGAAAAGAAACTAGGTTGGGTGGGAAATGGGATTCGAACCTAAGGTAAACGCTCAGTATCCAAGCCAAACGGGAAAAGCTCCGCTGCACTACACACAACAGCTCTTTTTTGGCGGCTTTTTATAAAATTATAGTGGAAACATCAGAATAATCAATACATATAAAATCCTACGTGCAGACTCGTGAGGTCAGGATCCCATGGGACACAACGTGGGTCCGCCTCTGATTATTACCAGATAGATACCAAAGGGAAACCAATTCTCTTATGCAGATACCAACCTGATGGAGAAAATTAAACACTCTAGTAGCTAGTATATATACTATGGAGGAGGAGGAGGATAACTGATACAAACCCTAAAGTGGTGGGACCCGCCTCACAAGATCTATTTTTAAATCACTTTTTTTATCTATTTATTTTTAATTTTACACCTACAATCAAATAAATTGAATTGAAAATAAAGTCAGTCAAACCTCGTAAACACAAACGAGAAGATAGTTATGAGACGGAAGGAGTAATTAACTACTCCGTCCGAGTGTGTTTGTACACAAACGGGAATATACCTTAATTTTTCAAATCAAACAGTGTTAATTTAGGATTTCAATTGAACAAAAAATGTAATATAATGCATATTTGTACAAAAATATTTTTATAAGATTTATATAGTAATAAGCCTTCACAATCTTATTTAATTATACCAATATTCAATACAAATTGAGAATAATTAGAAATGAGAAAGGTTATAAAATATTTGGGATGAATGAAAAAAGAAAGAGGAAAAATTTTGTGGGTGGAAAAGAGAAATGTTTTTTTGGGTATTATTATATTCTTTTCGTTTAATTCTAAGGGTTCAAATTTGCATGCACTATATACGAAATTAAAACTAAAACAAAAACACGTATTGTATACCTGTGAGTATTCCTTAATAAAATTTGCAATAAATAGGACTAAAAATAATGATTTTCCCAATGTAAGACTTAAACTTTTTTATTTCCTAAATAGGACTTAATAATGACCTAGTGGGAGGAATAATGTCCAGTAATGATGGACATTTATTTGAATAATGACTACTTGATAATGACCAAAAGTTCTACATTGGGAAATAAAAATATACGGTCTTATATTGGGAAAGTCATTATGTTTTAGTCCTATTTAGGTAAATTTCTTCTTGTGGAATTTATTAGCATGAGATTGATGACAACCCTCAAGTGGGGGCTAGTTAGGATGATGACGAGGTCATCACCTCAAAGAATCCCTTTTACTCTTGCTGTTTTGAAAACGCTAGCGCTTAAGGTTACTGTCGGATAACGTTTTCAAAATGTTAACGGTAACCTCTAACGTTGATGCCAAACGGGACCTTTGTCAAGGGAGAGCGCGAACGCCGCAAGAAGTCAAATTTGGGTGGAGTCTGTGTAATAGCACATAGTCCGTGTAATATCGGATAAGATTGCGTTCCGTTCAGCCTATTTTTCTATTTATTACTTATTCTTATTAAAATCAGTTTACATCAATTATATCTCATGAGATCAGATCCAATCAGATAAGATTAGACTATATCTAATTAGGTCTAATTAGATCAGACTTAAACAGAATTAATAATATTATTATTATTGTTCATTATTATTATTATTATTATTATTATTATTATTAGTATAAAAATAATAATAATAATAATAATAATAATAATTATTATTATTATTATTATAATTATAATTATTATTATTATTATGATTACTCTTACTATTATTAATATTATGATTACAATTATTTTTACTATAGTTCTTATTATTATTACTATTAATATTAGTATTACTATCATTATTATTATTACTATTATTATTATGATTATAATCATTATTACTATTACTATTATTATTATGATTATTAATATTATTACTATTGTTACTATTTTTACTATTAGTATTATGATGCTGATTATAATTACTATTACTATTGTTATTATTATTTTAGATTAAATTTAATCAGATCAAATTAGATTCAATCTGATTATAACTTAAAAATAACAAAAATAACCCAACCTAAGAGTTAAGTTCGGTTTAATTAAAAAAGACTAGTATGACACCCCGTGCATTGCACGGTTCGTATAAACGTCATAAATTTATATTGGTATTATTAAAAAAGTAAATAAGTACACCATATAATGAAATACTCTCTCCGTCCATAAATAAACTTTACGTTCACTATTTACAGAGTCAAACTTTATTCACTTTTGGCTTATTTTCGTCACCCATTTGATAAAATAATATAGTCATGTCACCTCTAGTTTTGTAGATATTTTGATATAGTTTTTCAAAATGTAATTTTTATTTTTTAATTCTACACCATTTTTCATATAAAATGATTTGAAAATAACTTCAGTCAAACATCGTAACGCGCAATGTAAAGTTTATTTGTGTACGGAGGGAGTATAATGTTCTTCAATTATGTAATATATAAATTATCTCCACCACATTTTCCTATTCTGAAAAGAAGGGGAAAGATATACCTTTCCCGCCCAAGTGACTTCTTAAATACAATTTAAGATATAAAAATGACGAGTGTTTTTAAAAAAGAATCAAAAAGAATGAATGATTGAATTTTGATATTATTATTTTTATTAAAAATCAAAGGAGGTTAGATTTATTTTTCTTGAAACGTCGATTTCATAACCTTTTAAAGCATATAAATAAAAAGAGGAAAGATTTTAAAAAAGGAGGAATGCTTGAATTTTATTAATAACTTTAATGAGTAGACAATTAACATGGTGCAAACAAAATACATAAGATTAACATTTTAAAACTTTCATTATTAAGCACAAAAATACTCACGGTTTTAAAATTCTTGCAATATTTTTTTTATTTTCCGCCACACTAAACAAATTAGTTACGCGTATAATAAAGAAAGAAAGTTTCAAGAAGTTTATATTTTTAACATCGCCCAATAATCGACATTAGACCTGTCAAAAAATGACCCGCTAAAAATGGGTCAAACCCGACCGAACCGAACCCGACCAGACCGACCCGCTAATCTAAGATTTTTTTAAAATCATACATTTTAATATGAAATATAGTGTTATAAAAATAAGATTATAATTATACTTCTTTACTTACTACTCATTTTTTTTGTGTATAGATTTATACCATAATAATAAATTTTAATGATGTTGCATATTTATCTTACATTTTTTTAAAATTTCTACATATTTATTTTTTTTATTCGTAATATTGACACTTAGTCATAGAAATTATTTAAAATTTTAAAAAAATTAATAAAACTAATAACCCGTTGGGTCAACCTGAACCCCATGAAACTCGGTCATGAACATGTAGTTATCAACCTGAATCCGAACTTATCCGACTCGAATCCAAGGTGACCAAACCCGAATCCAACTTGACCGACCGGATTGCGAGGTCTACTCGACATATCAGACAAATAAAAAATGATTCGAGAATGTGCCTTTTCATTTAATATGCTAATAACTTCCAAAATTCTATGATTTCTTTTTTTTTGGTAATTCTTTCTTTTTCTTAATATGTTAAATATGTTTTTTCATTCATAAAAAATCTACTACAATTTTCGGGCATTAAGTATGTACAGGTTTTATAAAGTTAATTTCTTTTTTAAATAGTTAAAGCTGGAGTTTGGACATAAGAGATGCTTCCTTTATTGGGCACTACTACTCGCACAACGTGCGATTTAGCTAAGAAACCCCATCCCTTTCCCTCAACCCTAGCATAGATTTTGAAACCTGAGATTCGCCATTTCCGTCCCTCTTCTCTTCGAGACGCGTAAGGGCAACCCGCAGGTGCTTTAGACGATATACAACTCGGATTGTAGATTTTTGCCATGTCGGAGGATGACAAGCTGTTGAAGGAGGCGAAGAAGCTTTCGTGGGATGAGCGGTTGCTGCACAAGAATTGGAAGGTGCGGATTGACGCCAACGCCGACCTGGCTGCGGTGTTTGATTCAATCACCGATCCTAAGGACCACCGTTTCCGTGAAATTGGTGAGTTTAGGGTTGCAATTCCCTTAGATCTTTTTTTCCTTTTACCCCGGAGTTGTGTATCTTCCAATTATTCCGTGCAATGTGGTTGCGTTTGCTGTTCGTTTGATCTTTTGTTGATACATCAATCATTGATCGCAAGTCTATTGAGAAGAATGGGAGAACCTGAATAAATAGAAGAATAATTGGAGAGAAAAAGATATAATTGCATCTGAATTTATTGAATAAAGAATCAGAGACAATCTAGAGCATTTTTTTAACGTTGTCAACGCCCTAGAGGGCGGTTAAGGAAGAGAACTAGGGAGTATTTTTGGAGGTTTTTAGGCATAGACAGGTGTATGATTTTTCAGGCTGTAGTGCAAGTAGTAGACTGTAGACGACATGTTACTCATGAAATTTGTGCGTTCGAAGTGGTAAGAATTGGACTCTTTATATCTTTGACATTGCTTGAACTGGACTGATCCTACTCATTCAATGATACTGAACCATGTCTGCCATGATCTTGCTGAAATTGTTATTCTTTTTAACAATCTTTTGGAATTTGCACGACTGTAGGAGTCAATTTGTCTGTTTCACTACCTTGACCCTACAGGCAACCCTAATACGATCCAACAACACATTCTCATCGAACGTTGATATTTCAAACAACTTCTTAATTGTAAATCGTTGAACTTTATACAGTTCACTCCTTACAGAGTAAATTCCCTGTCACTCAATGAGATAACACCTTATCATTACCAAATACAATGTGTAGTTAGACTGTGTAACATCCTACGATACCTCTTTCGTTAAAAAAATAAAGTTCCAAAAGCTGTTGTACCTGCGGTAGATGTCATGTTTCAGGCCCTAAGGTTCACCGGAATCTGGTCCTCTGTCTTACCTGTTTTTTAAATATTTATTTGATGATTTGAGTTTTTATGACTCTTCCCCATCAATGAGCAGAGAATTTGGCTCAAAGGTTATCCCACCAAAAAGAACTTTGAAGATGCTTCCTGAATTATTTGACCATCAGGATCAGAATGTCCAAGCTTGTTCTAAGGGCCTAACATTGGAACTATGTCGATGGGTTGGGAAGGATCCAGTGAAATCTATACTTTTTGAAAAAATGCGTGATACAATGGTATGCTATATACCTCAATCCTAATTTTGCTGCTTATTTGTTCATGTTAGGCAGATTCTTATTGTTCTTTTTTTTTTTAATTATAAGAAAAAAGAACTTGAGGCTGAGCTTGTTAACGTTACCGGGACTGCGAAGCCAACTCGCAAAATAAGGTGCAGTCTGTTTCCTGAACTTTTTCTCCTGCAGAGATTTGAAATGCCTAAACCTCTAAAAGTTCAGGTTAATCTTTGCCAGATCTGCCCAAGACAAGGTGCTAGAACAGGATGCTATGCCCACGACAGCTTGCTCTGGCCTTCTGAAGAATCCGCTGCTGACAGTATGTAACTACTTTGAACATTTATCTCTATTTTGTTGAAATCAATATTGATCTCAGTTATTGTGGGTTGGTCCAAACTCCAAAGTAGAGAAATGGTTCTTAAAGCTGTTATAGGAAACATGGTGTGTGATATTATATTTTACTGACCCGAATTCTTCTATTTTCTGTCAGCCCACAGGAAATAGATGAATATGAACTTGTTGATCCTGTTGATATTTTAACTCCTCTTGGAAAGTCTGGTTTTTGGGATGGAGTGGTTTGTTCACTATTGCATTTTTTTTTGTTCTTTTGAGCAACTGATGAATGTCTGTTACTTGGTCAACTAAATCATTCTTTTTTTTTGTCTTGTATTCCTCCTTTATTTTACTTGTTTTTGATTTCAGAAAGCTGCAAAGTGGTCAGAACGAAAGGATGCTGTTGCAGAGTTAACAAAGCTTGCATCTACAAAGAGAATAGCACCTGGAGATTTTTCTGAAATTTGCCGCACATTGAAGAAGGCATGTTAATTGATTGTTCATTTCTCATCTGAACGATTCCAAATGGCATATACTTTTTAAAATTCTGATGATTATAGTTTATGATAAGCGTTTGAAGTGTTTTTGGCGCAACACCGTGCTTATTTTACTTGTATAATTTACATTTTTGTTTCTATTCGGTGCATTGTTGCTGATTCATTACATTGTAGGTCATCACTGATGTGAACATTGCTGTAGCTGTTGAAGCCATACAAGCAATTGGGAATCTTGCTAGGGGACTAAGA